AAAAAGTGCATGTAAACATCATCTGCCTCAGATTGCGCACGAGTAGCGTGGTTGATTCTGTGTTGTGTCTTGTGGGAAATTACAGCCAGACAACAGCTGATACAGGTGCTGGTCATAAAATTAGAATATCATGAAAAAGTAGATTGATTTCAGTAATTCCATTTAAAAAGTGAAACTTGTAATAATAATAATAATAATACATTTTATTTAAAAAGGCGCCTTTCTGGACACTCAAGGTCACCGTACAAAACATAAAAAGTGTCAGAAAAATAAAAATTATAATTATAAAAACATTTAAAAACATTTAAAAATACAGAGGCTGTGACAGTGAAATTGATATTTTTAAAGAGAATAAGCAATCTTGAACAGATGGGTTTTGAGTTGTATTTTAAAATGGAGAATTGAGTCCGTATTTCGAAGTTGGGGTGGTAGAGAGTTCCAGAGGCGGGGGGCAGAGCGGCTGAATGCTCTGCTCCCCATGGTGGTGAGACGGGCGGAGGGGACAGACAGGTGCAAAGCAGATGAGGATCTAAGAGCACGGGAGGGGGTGGGAACATGCAGGAGGTCTGACAGATATGGGGGGGCAAGATGGTGAAGTGCCTTGAAAGTCATCATGATAATTTTATATTGAATGCGGAACTGTATGGGGAGCCAGTGGAGCTGTCGGAGGACCGGAGTGATGTGGTGGATAGAGGGAGTTCTTGTTATATTATATTCATACATTACATACAAACTCATATATTTCAGATGTTTATTTTGTTTAATTTTGATGATTACAAATGACAACAAATGAAAATCTCAAATTCATCATATCAGAAAATTAGAATATTGTGAAAAGGTTCAAAATTGATGGCCCCTGGTGCCACACTCTAATCAGCTAATTAACTCAAACCACCTGCAAAAGCCTTTAAATGGTCTTTCAGTCTAGTTCTATAGGCTACACAATCATGGGGAAGACTGCTGACTTGACAGTTGTCCAAAAGACGACCATCGACACCTTGCACAAGGAGGGCAAGACACAAAAGGTCATCGCTAAAGAGGCTGGCTGTTCACAGAGCTCAGTGTCCAAGCACATTAATAGAGAGGCGAAGGGAAGGAAAAGATGTGGTCGAAAAAAGTGTACAAGCAAGAGAGATAACCGCACCCTGGAGAGGATTGTGAAACAAAACCCCTTCAAAAATGTGGGGGAGATTCACAAAGAGTGGACTGCAGCTGGAGTGAGTGCTTCAAGAACCACCACACACAGACGTATGAAAGACATGGGTTTCTGCTGTCGCATTCCTTGTGTCAAGCCACTCTTGAACCACAGACAGCGTCAGAAGCGTCTTGCCTGGGCTAAAGAGAAACAGGACTGGACTGCTGGTGAGTGGTCCAAAGTCATGTTCTCTGATGAAAGTAAATTTTGCATTTCCTTTGGAAATCAAGGTCCCAGAGTCTGGAGGAAAAGAAGAGAGGCACTTCATCCACGTTGCTTGAAGTCCAGTGTAAAGTTTCCACAGTCAGTGATGGTTTGGGGTGCCATGTCATCTGCTGGTGTTGGTCCATTGTGTTTTCTGAGGTCCAGGGTCAACGCAGCTACATACCAGGAAGTTTTAGAGCACTTCATGCTTCCTGCAGCTGACCAACTTTTTGGAGATGCAGATTTCATTTTCCAACAGGACTTGGCACCTGCACACAGTGCCAAAGCTACCAGTACCTGGTTGAAGGACCATGGTATCCCTGTTCTTAATTGGCCAGCAAACTCTCCTGACCTTAACCCCATAGAAAATCTATGGGGTATTGTGAAGAAGAAGATGCAATACACCAGACCCAACAATTCAGAAGAGCTAAAAGCCACTATTAGAGCAACCTGGGCTATCATAACACCTGAGCAGTGCCACAGACTGATCGACTCCATGCCACGCCCCATTGCTGCAGTAATACAGGCCAAAGGAGGCCCAACTAAATACTGAGTGCTGTACATGCTCATACTTTTCATGTTCATACTTTTCAGTTGGCCAACATTTCTATAAATCCTTTGTTTTTATTGGTCTTCAGTAATATTCTAATTTTCTGATATGATGAATTTGAGATTTTCATTTGTTGTCATTTGTAATCATCAAAATTAAACAAAATAAACATCTGAAATATATGAGTTTGTATGTAATGTATGAATATAATATACAAGTTTCACTTTTTAAATGGAATTACTGAAATCAATCTACTTTTTCATGATATTCTAATTTTATGACCAGCACCTGTATATCAGCACATTTAATGCTCTGCATTCATATAGAAAATAATATTCGACCACAGGCTTTTTCTCATCGCAGTGTTCTTTTAATTTTTATTAAATATTATTAATCTCACACTGGAGAAATTCACCTCTGAATTTAAAGTTGTAGGGAACTAAGATTTAAATATCAAATCATTCTGGCTTAAACATGTTTATAAATGAACTCTCTTCAACAACATCTTTGTCCCCGCTTCCCTCCTCTAAATAAAGAAGGTATTATGGAGGAGACTCATCAACGACCTCCGACACAAAACTCTCCTCCTCTGGCATCTGTCCAAAGCGTACCTTGACAGTGTCGTTACTACCTGGTCCCAATGTAATTTCCCTTTGGGAACCTACTAGCATTAAGTTGCTAACTGGTTAGCAAGATGCTTCCGACAAACCGGCATCAATCGAACTTGCTTGTGAACCTTCCGCCACAACAATCCCGCCCTCTTGATAATCGACCAATCCCATTCACTTTATTCACTTGTGTTTAGTTGTGCACCACTCTGGAGAACTCGGAAATGCAGCGGTTGGAACAGCTGCTTCCCTACGACTTTAACCCATCCCCTTGGGGAGCAGTGGGCTGCCATTGTGCGGCGCTCAGGGAACAGTGTGGGGGTTAAGGGTCTTGCTCAGGGACCCAGAGTGTCAGTCCATGGCATGGCTTGAACCCAGAACCTCTGGATTCCATAACAATGGCTGCAACTCAATTCGCAGGCTGCGTACTTCGGAGGACGCATTTTAAAGCCGGCGACGTCACAACGCCGCGCAGAGGCTGTCCCATTTGGCAAAAATTCTGAGGACGCTTAAAATGCAGCCTTAAAATGCGTCCTCCTTTTCCCCGAATTCTGAGGATGCATCGCTACCGTCCTTAGTGGCCTCGCCTCCCACTAGATTTCCCGAGGTGCTTTGCACGTATTTTTTTTTTTCTTTTAGTAGTTGAAGAAGAAGAGAAAAAAGAAAACAGGCGGAAAAATGGAAAGCAGTAGCAGCTCCGGCAGTAGTAAGATGGAGTACACTTTTAAATGTGAGTATTATTTTTGTTTTTTTTTACTGAACATCTATTAAAATACATGATGGTAATGGAGCCACCGGGATGTGTAGGAGCAGCTAAAGCTAAAGCTTAAAGCTAACTTGTTGATACAAGAGGCTCAACAGTTAAAAGCCTTCATACAAATGTCACAATTATTAACTTGTAACTTTGCTGATAGCCCTCACTAATCGGAATTATTTATTCTCATACAGTTTATTACACAGGATTAGAACTGTCAAAGCTTAATGCAGCTGAAGAAATAACATTAGTCCAGCTGTACTGGGCTGTCAATATACTGCAATACTGTTTGAATACTCAATAATGTATAGTTATTTTACAGTACAGTAAAATTAGGTTTAAAGTATAATTCACTTGAAAAACAATGCTGGCGTAATTATACAGAACAGTAATTTTGCTTGTTGACATAACAGAAATATGCTTTACATGTCATTTTGTTCCAGGGAGCAGACAGAGGAGTTGATCAAACTCCGTGGGCAAAATGACCACCTTTTTACCGGCGCCAAAAATACTGCAGCAGTCGGCTGGAGGTAAGAGTTGAGGCATAATTCCATCTACATGTTGCATTTCTATGTAAAAGTCATAAAAGATAAAAGAGGTCCTGTTCAAACACCAACGTACAAATATAATCTTTTGATCACATGAAATGATGCCCAGATGCCACTTTTTATCAATCTTATATTTGTTATAGAAGTGATCCTAGTGTGTTTATCTCTTCTCATTTCTCTTGTTTAGAACAATCCTGCAGAAAATGGGCCTGGAGGGAAAAGTTGAGCCACAACAGGACAAAAAAAAGTGGGACAATCTAAAAAAAAAATACAAAGTATGTTCAGTGTAATAAAATACACAAACATAGATAGATAGATAGATAGATAGATAGATAGATAGATAGATATGTGTGTATGTGTAGGGAAATGACATCTTACATATATTATATTCAGGTTCATTTACACTTTGAGTTAGCTTGAAAAAAGTCATCTCAAAGTTATTATTCCAAAGTCGTCTCTTTTTCTGTAGAATTTCATCAATCTATCCAAATCATGAAACATTCCTTTTTTCTAGGTTTAAAGAAACACTACAGAAAATTGCATCTGTTGACACAAATTGTTTTCCTCTACTATAGGAATCCAGGGACAGGGCAGGGTGTCAGTGGTAAGCCTACTGCTGCCACCTGGCCCTGGTTTGTCCTCATGGAGGAGGTTTTAGGACGGAGGCCCTCTGTTGCCCCACCTGTCCTAATTGCCTCCATCCCTGAGGACACACCAGTGCTAGGTGCTGCAGAGGCTGAGCAGCATCAGGGCGATGACGAGGAAGAGAGTGAGGATGAGAGGCCAGGAGAGAGGAGGGAAAGGAGGAAGAGAAGAAGGAGGAGTGACGAGTTGCTTGATTTGATCAGGGAGGATATGAGATGGCAGAGGGAGGCGGAGGAGAGAAGAGAAAGAGAGAGCCGGGAAAGGATGGACAGACTGTTTAATTTATTGGAGAGGAAGGTGGACACTGGACAGAAGTTAATTTTTGTTGGTGTGTTCTTTTTGTTGTTGCTGCTGTTTTTACAAGTTCAGGTTATGTGTTGCTGTTATTAAATTAAATTATTAAATCGTTTATCAAAGTTATTGTTGTCGGTGTGTTCTTAAAGTCTTTTAACCTTTTTACATCATCTGTTTCATCACTTCTTTACAATTTAAGTAAACTTAGAACAACTTCTCAGTGACAACATCAATTTATTTTTAGAGATGCAATTATATACAATAAACTATTAAAAATATTTTTAACTATTTACATTCAATTTTAACCACTACAACTATTTACAGAAGATATAAAAGAAATACTATAAAAGAACATATATATACAATTGTGACTGAGCAGGAGTCCCTGGTGGTGCTGCTGGACTGGATGGGATGCCACACAGATGACCTTGGAGTCTTCTGACTGCGAGTGGGACATCATCTGGGGGGTGGGGGGTGCCTCTCTCCACTGTTCACCACATCGTCCATCAGGGTTTGAAGGGCTGACCCAATCGACGGCTGCCATGTTACTAAAAATGTTTAAGAAGACGCAGAAAATGACTTTACTACAACTGTTTTCATAACCCTGAAATGAGAACAGCTAAAAAGTGATTCTACTTGCCATCTAAATGTAATGGTGGTCGGGTAGACCCTCCTCCAGGGCAGACACCTCGGCAGACAGCTGGTCCCGCCAGTGAGCACCACTGCCTGCCTCCAACACGTTCTCCCCCTCCTCATCCTCTGGCATGTCGTCCTGCTCTTCATCCTCTGGGGCCATGATGTCACCAGCTCCCAGGCAGATGTTGTGCAGGACAGCACATGCCGTTATGACCTGTAGAAAAAAGAAGACAAAAAACATCTTATAGTATATTTGAAGAAATTAATTTAAAGCTTTTTATCATTTATCTATAGGCAATAATTCTCTCATTTAGTAACATACCTGAGGCACAAAGGTGTGGTACACCTCCAGCGCTTGGAGGAAGATGGCCCTGAACCTCGTCTTCATCCTCCCAAAGGCACGCTCTATGATGGAGCGTGCCCTGGAATGATGGCTGTTAATGCGCAGGGCTCCCACACCTTGCACCGGCCGCTTGAAGGGAGTGATGAGGGGGAGTGGGTGTTGGAGACACGGGTACCCACCATCTGCCAAGATGAAGTGGCCCGGAGGAGGGTAGATGGCCCGCCTGTACAGTGGGCTGTTCCGGAGCACTCTGGAGTCATGCACCGACCCCGGCCAGCCCACGTACGTGTCGATGAAGCGGCCCTGATGGTCACAAACTGCCTGTAGAATGATGGAGGAGAACAGTTTCCTGTTGCGATAGCAGTGACCATCAGGACCGCTTGGAGGCTTGATCCTCACATGGCAGCCGTCGATCGCTCCAGCAGCTTTCAGAAAAGCTCAATGTCCGGCCAGCCCTTCAAACCCCTGGGTTACTGATGCCAGGTCTTCTGCAGTTTTCGGGAGGCAGACTACTCGGTGGCGGATGGCCACCACCTCCTCAGTAACCCGGTGGACGATGCGGTGAACTGTGGAGCGAGGCATCCCGAACACCCTAGCCACCACTCTGTAGGATTCCCCACTCGCTAGCCAGAAGAGGAAGACCAAGGTCTCTATTGTGGCCCCCCATCCATGTCTTCTTTCCTGGCAGAGAAGGTCCAGCAGCACCGCCAGAGACTCTCTGCTCAGCCGAAAGTCTGGTCTGGTGTCGTCATTGTTAAAAAATATCTGGAGAACGGGAACATTCAGATTGATGCGGCAGTACATCGGCCTGGTCTGGATAGAGAGATGAAGGTTGAGAACAACAGGATTAGATGATAGCAATTTCATTTTAGCTGATACAATTCTAGTGAATGTTAACCCCTTAACGTCTGGTGTTGCCAATTTGGGACCAAACAATTCTGGCCTTTACTTATTTTACTTCATCTAGATCCACTATTTAACTTTTTTTTCGTTTTTATGTTTATTTTTCCTGTATTATTTTTCTGTAATATAATTGCAAATAAAATCAGGCAGTAAGTCAATAACAATTTAGACAAACAAGGATTTATTTCTCAATAATACAGTTTGCCTACTCCACATAACATTAGTGATAGTGAAAGTAGTGATTTAAGTCAGTTATATACAGGGATTGTAAACATTTAACTATTCAATTCAAAAGTTACAAACATAAGCTTATACCTGTCTTAAAAATAAATCTAAAATTTGATTAAAAAATGATATCCGTCAATCTGCTGACAAGTGTTTGATTAATAAATGCTATATTATGATCATTAGCAGACCCTAGTGGCGGAAAATAATAGCAGGTAAATGTTACCTCCCCACTGCGCTCTGCCAGTCTCAAAAAAATCTGTTGCCGGTTTTGCTGTCGCCGAATCCGACTCTCCTCCTCCAACAACAAAAAATAAAAATTTCTGTGTCCATTTCGGTTGATTCTTCTGTTAAATGTCTAGTTTCAAAATTTTTAATGGCGCTGTTTTTCCCGGGCTTTGTGTAGACGTGATGACGTTGTGTCGTAACCAGGAAGTGCTCCAAAGGGTAGACCGTCCCATTTACCAACGGCTGAGGATCCTCCGGAGCAGCCTACCAAGGCTGGGTCCTCCGGAGGCTAGGTAGGCTGGGTCTTTAGAAGTATGCAGCCTGCGAATTGAGACGCAGGTGACCACTAGTATTATTTTACAAGTAGTGTAAAATAACACATTTACCTGAAAATAAAAATAATTGCAACAACAGTTAATAACTAAGCCTAAACATGGTCCTAATAATCTTAAACATTACATGAGTAAAAAAAGAAAATAATTAAACACAATAATCCAACACCAAAAACAATGAAACATCACATACCTGCATTCAGATAGAAAATAGTAGTCAACAACAGGCCTTTGTCTCATCACAGTGTTCCACAGCGCCTGTTTAACCATCAACAATACTATTTTCAGCACAGGAATGTAGCATTTTCATTAGCAACGTTTCATGTAGCATAAGAGCAGCTAAATAACTGCTAAAACAGTTACATCACTGTCTAAAAAAAGTAAAAAAAAATTTAAAGTTTAGATACTACAAAGCATATTATTTTACAAGAACAATAATCAAACTGTCATTAATTATGCTTAAAATACACTTATTGAACATAGAAAATAAAAAACAAACCTCCTTCCATGGAATCCGAACAAAAAGAGCGTGATGGAGAGCAAGGGAAAAACCCTTCACGGACTATAATGGTATGATCTTTTAACTTGTCTTTTCAAACCACGAACTGACACTCAAACCAACAAACCGGGAACTCAATACTCAATATGTTACAGTAAACATGATAATTTACATTTTCGTTTGCAACTCAACAAATTTGAATAAAAATTATAATTTTGAAACAGGAAGTTACCCGCTGTTTTGCAATGGATCTGTCGTCTTTTCAAAATAAAAGCTGCCAGTGCTCATATATACGGCTGCCATCTTTTCATCAAGCCTTGGAGGGATATTTTGAAATGATTTGGACAGGAAACCCTTGTCAGGGTTAGATGAGGATAGGTGCAGCTAGGTTGTAGTTTTTCAGAGGATTTAAAACAAAATGGCAAAATGTGGAATTTTTTTATAGCACAGTAAATATTACTGAATAACAATAGGTGATCTGCAGTTATGTGGAAAAACTTTCACACAATAAACATTATTTTATATGTTCTGGTCATCTTCAGAGAATTGAGAGAAAGAAAAAAGAAGAATGGGCCCTACTAAAATAATTGCATTTTAAATGTACTGTAAACTAAGAGTTTCACAACTGTGTTTATTAATTATTCTATGCAGTTAAAGTGAAATAAACAATGGGGAACTAATAAATTATCACTGGATTACACTAATACAAGGACCAGTGTAATCGAATAGCGTGCAAACTACACTGTATGAATATTTGGTAACAGGCTGAAGATTAAAAATCTTAAATCATTATCTTATCAGATTTTTTACAATTGACAAAACAGCTAAACAATTCAGAACTAGGAGGCTGTAGAGTCAATAGAAAATCACCATGACAAAAGACACCATTTCTGTGATAGAGACTAAGTTTTTCAACTTATTCAATGGACCAAAATAAGGATACATGAAGAAGACTTATTAAAAAAAAATACTTTTTCATCAAGTAATAAAAAAAGGAGAACACCCCTGTGGTTCCTCCTCTGTCAATCATGGATGACTGAGTTGTTCTGCACATCCTTTCTGTATGAGGTGGGGTTTTTTTCTTGGGTGGCTGATCTTTTGAAAAATAAAATGTATTTGTTCTTTATCTTTTGTTGTGGACCTTCTATGGGTTTGTGAGGCATACCTGAAAGTTTTAGGAATTTAGATATTTGTCTTGGTTTAATTAGTCCTAAAATCCAACGGGAGATTATTAAACTAGACTGATGGTGAAGATTCTCAGGCATCCAGGTCTTTTGGCCGGGGGGGGGGGGGGGCGTTTTGGGGGGGTCCCGCGGCGCTCGCGGCCGGTTCGTGGCGGATGCGCATGGGCCCCGGCCGCGGCCGCCTGTGTGTTTTTCCTGGGTGGTGCGGTCGCGGTGGGTGTTGCGGCCAGTCGCCGGGGCTTGGTGCCGGGGGGCGGGGCGTGTTTCGGTGCTCTGTGGGGCTGGGGCGTTTCGGTCGGTGCCGTGGGGGGGCCGGTGTTCGGTGCCCGGCCCTACTTCAGGGTGGCCGGCTGCCGGCGGGGGCCCGCGGACTCCTCCGCGCGGCTCCCCGGGGCGCCGGCATGGCGGTGGCTGGGGGGCTTCTTCGTGGCTGTCTCTCCTCCTCCCTTGGTGGGGGTCTGATTTCTGGGGCTGGCCCCTCATTGGTGCCTTCGCTTCTGGGGTCCCTTTGGGCGCCTGGGGCTTTGGGTCTCCCGGCGCTGGACTCAGTGCTCTGGGGGGTGTGCCTCTCCGGCTCTCCACAACCACTATTGAGCATTTTTTTTCTATGGTTAAAACTTTACATGCACAAGTTCACCCTCACAAACAACTACAGGTGCTAGGCTTCAGGTACTTAGAGATTCACCTCCAAACAGAAACCCCACATTCATATCTTCAGGTAACACAGAGTACATGTCAGACTTAATAATATTACTTTAGTGATAGTTTCAAGGTGTTGCTTTATTGTATATCTCCTACCGTGTCTTTTGGTTGTGCTGTTCTTTTTTTCATCTCGTTACAGGTGATGAAGCAGACTGAAAATGCTTTGTCATTGTCTCCTCCCTATCTCCTCTTTCTTTCATCTTTTGTCCTTTTTTTCTTTTTCTTATTCCTTTTTCTTCTTCTGTTTTTCTGCTCTATTTTCATTGCAGTGTCCATATGAACTGTAAAACTCCCTGCATAATTATAATAAAGCAATTTATATGCATGAAACAAGTGGAGCAGTATGGCAATTGCCATACTGCTCCACTTGTGAAAGTAAAATCTGTTGGGCTCCTTTTAGCATCAAGACATTTATTCTTATTGCCACCTTGCCAGACAGGACACTGTAAAAAAAAAAAAAATACAATCCACTGGACTTTGTTTCCAAGTTTGAAGACATTTCGCTTCCCATCCAGGAAGGTTTTATATTTCAAAATGTCAGAAATAGAGTTGAGTTAGAGGCTTTGTAGAGTGGACCAAAAACAAAGCCTTGTTTTGGCTTAGAAAACATGCAAATGGAACCGCACAAATTGATCCAAACCTTGTGAATGGAGGTTGTTTGGGTTCATTGCTGGGCTGCAATACATGATACCTGTCTATGTCTCTGAAATGGGGTTCGTTAGAGGGAATTGTTGGCCTGGCTGAACAGACGAGGTGTTTTGTTCTAAGGGGCTGGGTGTTGCGAAGATAGCAGGAAGGAATCAACTCAATGTTTTGGAATCTGAAACAAGCAAATACTGCTTTATAGAAAATCTGAGAACAGCAGAAGTTGTCGAGTGTATAAACCAAGGAACTGGAGAGATTGTTCCAATAAAATCAGCAACAGATGACTGGGAAATCAATATTAATGAGGAAAATAAACGTCTTAAGGAAAATCAAAGCACTTGGATCGGACAACTGCAACATAGTCAAGTTTTATGAAGATTTTTACTACAAAATAAAACAATGCCTTGTGTTTGAAAAGCTGGATATCGATTTAGAAAGTTTTACATAAAACATTGTAGGTGGTGGACTACATTTGTGTGATATTCGAGATATTGCTCAACAGGTACTGGTTGCTTTAAATTTTTCTACATGGTAATGGCGCATTGAGATTTCAAGCCAAACATAATGCTGGTAGACCGCTTATCCCTAAAAGTGAAATTAACAGATATGGGTTTCTCTCAGGCGAACCCGGACTGGCCATGTGTCTGGTTGTGGCTGCTGTGGTGTGTGTAGCTAGCGAGCGGTGCAAGTGGTGATAAGAAGCAAGGGACTCAGTCTATTAAAGTGGTGAAAGGAAGAGGAAAGGCAGCGCAGAGACGGAGAGAGACAAAAAAGAAAGGCGCTGGAGGAGGACGCAGCCAAATGCAGAAAAGCAATAGATTTATTCAGCCCCCCACCCCACTCATGGTGCCATTTAAAAAAAACATGCAAGTAAGTTATAAGAAAACACTCACACACAAAATGTTGATACAAATGTGCAGTGGTCTTAAAAGTACACACATTTGCTACTTAAGTAGAAGTATAGATACTGCAGTTTAAAAACACTGGTAAAAGTTGAAGTATCAACTTGACCTAAAAGTGAAAAAGTATGAGCTCCAAAAACTACTTCAAGTATTAAAGTATAAAGTAACCTTTAAAAAAAACAGCCAGATACCACTATAGGAATTGAAAGCTCAATTTTTTGACTATTTAAAAAAAAAATTCTTTGAGATAGGGCCAAGGATGAGGGAGGTCTTGTTGGTCTCCGTCTCCCGATACGCTCTTGCCTGTGTCCGACCTTTCAGACATTTCAACATCTTTTTCTGAATCCAACATTGTAGCATGAAATAGACAATTCACGTTTACAGTTTGAAGAACACCTGCTTGCTTCTGATGATTTCCTTTAGCTAACCAATGAGTGTTTGCGTTACATGACTCATCCAATTACACTAGTTTTCACTAGATGTGGATGGAGCCAATCATCTGCTTTGGATGGAGCACATGACGTTAAATAAATATTTATAAACATTAAACCGAAGCCAAAAGTAACGGGTATCAATTGTTTTACAAATGTAAGGAATAGAAAGTACAGATACTTGTGTGAAAATGTAATGAGTAGAAGTCAGAAGTAGAAAGAAAAATAAGTAATGGAGTAAAGTATAGATACCTAAAAAGTGTACTTAAGTAGAGTAACAAAGTATTTGTTCTTCGTTACTTGACACCTCTGCAAATGTGAGACCCCAATGTGTTTTTACATTATTTGTTTGATTTTAAGAGAAAGACTGTTTTTGGGTAATAATTTGAGTTGTAGTTGCACACTCACACCAGAAGGTGGCACATTACTCCATGAGACGCCATAGTGAGGTCATAGGGTCACCTTCTCCAACAAGGTAGAAGGAGGCATGAAGAAACTTAACCTGTCGCCTGTCTCATTCATTCTCCTGTTTTACAGGTTAGTAAAAGAGTATAAGCCACATGAAATGGGTCAGAAAGTACTTTTGAGAAACACAGCTAAATGTGACTTTATAAATCAGTTGGTAAAAGCTGCACATTTGTTGAGTATGTGGAAAGATGTGCTGGCGTCATTTTGTCAATTTTGTGTTTGCTGTATGTTTTATTGAAAGCTATTTTTGTTTAAACTGTTGATATGCCATTGGCAGAGATAAATATGGGTTTACTTATTATTTTAAAAAAGCATTAAGTGGAAGTTCAAATCTGAAGCTAAGCTAAGTGTAACTGCCATACAATGCATGAGCCGTTAAGCTAAACGGAGTTAAAAATGAAGCTAGTTAAGCTATCTGTTAAAAAGAAGCCCAGCTGGGATTGTTGGAAAGGTATTTTGGTTAAAGTTTATAAATACAATAAAAATGTAAACAGCTAAAAGGTATTAAAGTCGTAGGGAAGTCATATTTATATGTCAAATCATTCTGGCTTAAACATGTATATAAATGTACTCTTTATCAGACAATATTGTCCCAAAATTTAGAAAGTTCTGTTTTTAAAAACAATCCTGTCTAAAAATCTGTGCTTTTTTTTCGTTATCTTATGCAAGCCAGTTAGTTATATGTCAGCCTGAACACCTAAATTCGGCCAATCAAATAACGTCAACGTTCATCTGTCAATCAAATTTCTTCCATCATAGCATCTTGTTTCATATGTCGCAGCTGATAT